TCATATGCGAATATCATTTGTAGATGCTCCGAAGATCAATGTCTAAAATATCTATCTAAGCCACATGCCACACAAATTCATCATATAGTTGGCACATATATATTATATATCTGTATTTATATCATATTGTTTGATCTAAGCTACTTTTCATACAAAGTTTATTTGGAAATCTCCTCTGCAATTAAGAACTAATATTATGCGTACATCGATACGTCATCGTATCTGTAAGGTTACGATGCAGGGGGCCCCCTTGGTTTGTATTGTATATGTACATATATAAATAAAATAAATTTATAAATATTGTCTTGCATGTCTTTGCGACTTGTCCAGTTGTTTGTTATCAAGCCCGTAATTAACGTGTTCTATTTTTAGATGTCGTCGTCTTGTAGTTTACTCGTCGTTTCAGTCCTCCATCAATTGTATCATCAATTGACTTTTCAGTTGTTGTAGCTATCGCAGTTGTTGCTGTTGTTGTTGAACTGGGCAGCTCGGACTCGTGTGGGGAACGAGAGAGAGATTATCAAGCTAAAAAATCAACAGTAGCTGACGGTTCCGAGCTACTGTCTGCCTCTCGGTTATATTTTGTTCAGCATTGCGGCATTATAAAGGCAACTGAGGCAGCCACACTGCTGTGGCAGCAGCAGCAGCAGCAGGCAGCATCTGTTGTTGATTGTTGTTATTTTATTTATGTTTTTTTCGTTTTTTTTTTTTGCTGTTGATTTAATAAATTAAAACCCGTAAATTAACTGTGAAGGCAAAACGACGCGCGACAAATCAAATAAACAAATAAATGGCAAGCAACAGCTAAAGACTCTTTCAGCCTCTCCACTGCAGATACAATAACTAGCGAGAGAGAGAGAGAGAGAGAGAGAGAGCGAGATAGTATGAATTTGCCAATTGATGCCGCTTGATGCCATCAATTGGACAATTCTAAAATCATTGTAAGCTTTGAACTCTATTTTTGGTCTGCCCAATAAAACCTCTTTGAAATCGAACAACTCTGAAAAGAGAGAAAATAAGAAAATTGACAAATGAGGAATTACTTTAAAGAAGGATTTAATATTATATGTATTATATTGTTAAATATTTATATATTTGTTGTTTTTTATCAAGCTTGCATTTTTAAACTTTCCAGATTTTATATGGCTGCTGCTTGCTGCTTTATACCGACCCCAAATAAATATATATATATATATATAAATTAATCGAAACATTTGTTTGGCTTCCCACAGTGCGGGTAACAACTAACATTTAGAAGTTAAACCGAAAATTAGCACACGTGTGCTCCGAGACTCGGACGACCCAATGATAAACCCTCTAAGCCAAAAGTATGCGACCCATGGGCAATTGGGCAACATACTCACATAAATACACAAACACACACACACACACACACACACACAGACACACACACACACACACACATACATACACACACATACACACATGTGTACATTATACCTATCAATATATCCCAGTCTGTTTATTTAGCCACAGCTGGCAGCCCAATGACGACGCCGACGCCGACGACGACGACGACTACTTATCAATGGATCCCATCTGTGTTAATGATGCCATGGCGTTCTGATAACCGTTAGGTATCTGCCCGATACTGGCACGTGTGCACTGTGGGTGTGGTTCGGGGTGGCGGCGACAGGCATTTCGATAAGAAAACCCCCCCCACACCACCGGTTGTAGGAGAGTTTAGCCCCACGTGGTGTTTGTTTAATATCAGCTGTGATAAAACCTTTGGTAAACTGGAGTCCATCGGGCAGTCAATCGTCAGCTTTGCTGCAAAGTCGTTAACCCCTTTATTTTAGGTACTAGGTAATGCAGCATGATTGATTTATCGCTAGGCCCGACCTGGGGCCATTCGCTAGCGACTCCAGTTCACGGAGGGCCCATAACTTAATCGACTGCTAGTCGAGTTAAGTTTTATTTCAGGCACGGAGTCTACGGAATCAAAGCATTTTACTACTCTCCTCATCAATTTGATCGATGGTTCTATGAGGTCTGAAAAAATACAAACCTTTAATTATGTTTTCAATGTGAACTACAACACATTTGATGTTCTAACAAGCAGTCTAAAAGATATAGGAATATTTACAAAAAACAAAATTGTAAATTAAATTGTTGAATAGCAGTTGAGATACAAAATTTGGTAGCTTGGTTTTAAGATGCTAACTAACAAATAGGAATAAAAATGCAATAAAAGATTTTATCGTTTGTTTTTATTATGTTGAGTTTAACAATTTTTACTTGGCCCCTTCAGCATTTTAAAAGTAAAAGATTTGCCTGGATTGGATGGATTTTGCATAATCTAAGTAAATTGCGATTATTGAGAGGGTCCACAGCCATCATCTGCACTATCGATAATTCGATCAATTGTGTTGCAGCCCTGTGCTTTCACCTCCCAGAGCGTTTATTGTGCTCCCTACTTGAACATAAATACTTGAGTGCGCTGCATTGGGGTACGTGTGGCCCAGCCACCATCAAGGATATATGTACGCACATGTATGTGTGTGTGTGTTGCTCCTCTTGTGACCCGCTTGGGGCAATCTGAAGTGCGGCACTTCAATTCCAATTCGACAGCAGCCAATTGCAAATCGCAGATGAAACAAGAACAAGGCTCGGGGGTGTACTCCAGTTGGCAGTTTTTGTTTTGAAGACGTCCTTGTCGTCATCGTGCCTGTTTCTGTCAGTTTGCCTTATCCACTTGGGACACGGACCAGCTGCAGCCATAGACAGAAAGAGAGAGCGAGAGAGAGGGAAAGAGAGAGGGCTTCGCTGCGGGGCAACTGCAGCTTTCCTTATTGTTGCTGTTGTTGTTGTCTCTACAGAGCCCCTTCACATATCCTGTGCAGAAATTGGAAAAACTACTAGAGCTAACTTCAATTGAGACGTGCTTCTGACCTGTCCAGGGCACGAAACGGACACTATGATTGAAATTCCAAGCACTGCTCGAGGCGCCCTTTGGCACAATCCGATAAACACTTGAATGGCAAACCATTCTGATGAACGCTGCTTTTGCTCGCCGAGCACTGCTCGCATTACAACTAATTACGAGGATATGGATGTGGATGAGGCTACACAGGACCAACAACTGACAACTGACAACTGAGGCGCAACGCAATCAATATCGAAATTTTGTTACGCCTTTCAGGGAGGTACTTTCATCTTGCAGGCATTAGACAGTAGACAGTAGACAGTATGGATGGGCCATATGCTCGGGCCGGGTTCGTGTTAGTCTTAATTATCGGCTGCCTGTGCAAAAAGGGGCCACAGATGAAGCAGATAGAGTCAAGAGAGACGGAGGCTGTGTGCCGCCAAAAGGATACGGCAAACAAACAAATATTTACAGTACACACTCGCATTTAATTATTGACCACAAGCAGGATGCAAAGGAACCGGCCGCCGTGGCATATGGCGCTGAAATGTGAGCAGACACGTGAGCTCTGCTCTCGGTTGGACGGCAGCCGTTGCACAGATCAGCTGTGCACAATTATCCATTATGGGTTTTTGCTGAAAGGTTGCTCTAACAGCTGAAATTCCATTTGCGGTCGCTGGCAGGGCAGCGTGGGGGTTGCAGGGCGCATTCAGGGGTTGGTTTTAACACCCTCTTATTATTTATTGTTTTTAATAAGTTTCTATTATCAGCAGCAGTTGCCGTTACACAAATTCATCTCTAGTTCACATCGCATTCAACTAAGCCAATAACTAAAAGAATCCATAGAGCAAGGACTATGCAGAGGACTAACAGATGCACTTCCTTTTAATGTCAACCATCAAGGATATACATATTTACATTCAGCTTATGATGCAGTCTCAAAATTAATTTGCATATTGGAGCAGTTAGAGACCCAAGTATGGACTTCAAGAAGATCCCTCACAACGAACTAAGATTTCTCCCCCATTTTGCACTTCTGCCAAATTTCATCGCTAAAGTTACCCGTCAATGGAAATATAAATATTTAAAAATGTATATAAATAACAACTTGCCCCTTTGCACTTTGCATCGATACAATACATATATAAGACCTGTTCATGGAATAAGCACACGCATCTGATATATCGGAGCTGTTTGCGTCAATGGATTTGTGATGACGAAATAAATACACGTTTATGGTGGATCAGAGCTGTTTCAGGCACAATTACGCACCTACAACTTCCTTACGACATGGTTCCATTATCCCCCAATATTCAACATGACGCAATGAAGCCATTCACTGTTAACTGGTATGTGGTATATGTTGGGCGTTGGGTTTTATGGGGGTCCTTGGTTTGGATGCTTGTTTCGCCTTTGTTTGTTTGTTTATTTGTTGTTGTTGTTGTTGTTTTTTGTTTGTCGTATTTACATGCGACGTAAGTAATTTTTATATTCACAATAAATGTGGCGGCCTAATTGAGTTAGAGGCGTTTCGTGTGTGTAAATACGGACAAAGTGACGAGAATTCTTGAGTAATCCACACACACACACACACACACACACACACACAAGCACACACAATCACACTTACACTTACACTTCCCACATTTATTTGTCCTTTTGTTTGTGTTGTGAGTTGTGCACAGCAAAAGTCGCTAAGGAAAAGAAAAATAATCTTGCAAAATTAAATTTCACTCAGAGTGAAAGTAAGCCAAAGACACTTAAGCTGATTATGTTTAATTCAAATTTACAACAAATTTAAAAAAAGAAACAATTCAACATCTTTTGCAGCGGGATTATTCAAAGTGCTTCTCGAAAGTGTGGTATCAAAAGAAGAACCTATATAAAAATTTGTAATTGAAATTAATCTCTGAATTTATAGCTAAAATTTATTCCCAGCCGACCAAAACTAAATTGGATCAAGAATTTTCATGAATTTATGATTGATGTGATTGAAATATTTTACTGATTGCAAATACATAATAGACTCCACCAAGAAGCGTATCCAATGATGTTAAGCTGAATATAGACACACTTGTCAACTGTTCGAGTGCCAGTTAGTTACACATGTGACATGAGTTCTGAATGTCTGTGGTTCCGCTCAGTGCTCCGTGTGGTGGCAAGTGTTCATCTTGGTTACGCCCTCTACTACGAATACAGATTCACACAGCTGGACGTACAACTGCGACTGGATCCGGCAATCGGTGGCAAGTTCAAGTATCTGACCTTTCTCAATGAACTGCTGCAGTTCGTATACAATCTGTTGGCACTGTGCCAGGATATCCGCCAACAGCGAGAAGTGCGCAACTTGCGGGACTATTTGCTGGCCAGTTGTGTGGTGCCACTGGACCTAACGGTGGCTGTGACCTACTGGACATTGTGCGTCATCAATCGAGAGACGATCTATCCCGAGTTCCTGGACCTCATCTACCCAAAGTGGCTCAACCAGACGCAGCACAGCTGATGCCCTGCTGGAACTCTGCAGTTCACCACATAGTTATCCGGAGCGACGCAAGGGATTTGCAGGTGTGGCTGCTGTCTTGATCTGTTATCTGATGTGGCTGCGAGTGGTGCAACAGGCAGTGTCTGGATCTATCCCATTCTCGATGCATTTACTGGTCCGCTGCGCGTGTGTTTCTGCCTTCTAATCCTTGCACTGTCCATTGGCTACTATTTGCTGGGCGAACAACTGAACCGAGTGCTGTGGAAGTACCGCTCAATGGCAATGTAATAAAGCAATTTCCGTTCCTCCAAATCACTTTTCCCAACTGTCGTCAGGTAGACGGAAATTTGCATAGAAATGCGCTGCTGCTCGAGGGTAAAGTAGCCAAACGGAAATTGAACGCAATAATAATGACAATTGACTTGTCAAAATGTTACAACTGCGACTGCGAGTGCGAGTGCGAGTAAAAAAAAACAACAAAAAAATCAAATCCAACTGACTTGAACTGAACCCAAGCAATGCCGAACCGAGCCAGGCCAAGGGTTGGCCCTTAAGCAAAATGCATTTGCAGCCCAGTTCGTCAGTGTTTGAGGTATTTCTTCTTCTACTTTTCGTTTGCGGTCGCCGAAGCGTGGAATTAACTCAAATCGATTCGTTGCACTCGTCAAGGGAAGCGTCCATTCTATTCAGAGTCTTAACAACTGTTGTAGTATCTATCCACTTAAGGGTTTCTCCACTTCTCAGCAGTTGCTGTCAACTATAGGTTTTTAGATACTTCGACAGTGATAGGGTTATTATAATTCTGCAATTTGTGTTCAGAGCTGTTCAAATGGAATATTCAATTGTTGAGTAAAATGCTGAATCAAAGCTTTTCCCAGCTACGAAGTTGTTTGGGCAGAGAGCACTTAGGTATACAAGTCGATTAAATTAGAAAAGAAAACAGATTTAACAAATATTTTAAAGACAAATATACTTGTTGATATTTTAACTCAATGCGAGAATATTTCAACTGCAAGTTGCAAGCCATTAAAAACGTGTTTTAGAATTGTAAACTTGAATTAATTTCATTCGTTGTGATAATGATTATTAATTGTTTGCAAAAGGAGTAATAAAATATTTATTACAGAAAAAAAGTAAGATTTATGTTTCTATGATTTAGTTGGTCATGACTGCAATATGGTTTCAAATTGATTACGGTCCTTCCAATACATTTCTCAGGCTCGCAACAATATCAGATGAGCAGCCAGCCATCCCTTTGGCTTGTGATTCCGATTACGATTCACATTCAGATTCAGATGCATAAATCATTGGATGGCAGCTGCCATTTGGGTCACGTGCACAGTTAGCTAAATGGCAATGGTTTCAGCTGTGAATTGCTGAGAAACAGCTGAAAAGTTGCCAAAAGCCGACCCGAACATGAGTCACTCAATCCTTTCAGCCGAGCCCAAAAACCTCTGCATTTTTCATGGAAAATTGAAAACATGCTGCGTACCCACACGCGGCACTTGTGCTAAAAATATTTCAATATTGAATGGAAACAGCTGAGAATGCATTCACACACACACACACACATGCACACTCCTTGGATTTGTTTATTGTGGGACGGAAGCTGGCCGGAAACGTGTTTCAAATGCCGGGAGGAAGTCCTGTGAGCTAGCTAGCTGCCTGCGAGTGCTGCTCGCATTCATGAATGCGGTTCAGGTACTCGAACCTTGAGCGCAGCTCAGCATGCAAATGAACCGACAAAGCAGCAACGGGAATCGCCATCAATTGAGTCATATGGCGCATGCCTGTCCTGTTTCCAGGATGTGCCAGGATCTGTGTCAGCTGTCGATCGACCCGTGCGAACCCTCGCAATTGTTTACTTCCACGCACGATTGATTCAACCCATCGAGTTTGAGATACAGACACAGATACAGATACAGATACAGCCATAGCTACAGCTACAGCTACATATCATCAAGTCATCCGACTGCGGTCTGTCTTTTTCTGTATAGCTTTTATTATGCACGATCTCCGCCCCTTTCGTATAATTTGTGCAAATATTTTGTTACGTTTGTGTGCCAAACAATTGTTATAGTCTCCTGTCTGCTGTCTCTTGTCTCCTGTCTTCCTGGTCGCCGCACACAAATTGTCAATTTGTCACCCGCGTGAATTGCATGGGCTACCAAGCCAGGGAATGCAGAAGCAACAACAACAATAACAACAACAACAACATCAGTTACGAGTACTATCTTCTTACATTCATTGTGCCGGAAAATTGTTTATTTATTGTTATTCATGGCCGGCTCTCACAATGCAATTTCACGTTTAATTGCGTGCGTTTGTCCATTTGTGCCAAACGATTTTCATAACTCTCCGCACAGGGGAAGCAAAAAAATGCTGGCTATTTGTTTAACCAACCAGACACAGGTAAAATGTTAATGACACCAAACCCGATTCCCTCACTTGCCACAACAGTGAGTCGCTCCCGCAGGCCTGCATAAGTTAAGTAGTTAACGCGTATTTCTATCTTCTTTTCCATACCCATAAACGGGGGTAGATACTCTGACTGTGACTTTGACGAGCACACGAAGATAACTCTTTCGTTTGGTTGAAGTAGTAACTATTTGCTGCACATTGCTGTCTTTCGCAAAGTATTTATCATGTGAGCGCCTAAGCTATTAATGTTGCAAAAAAAATAATTTAATTTAATTTAATGACGGAAAAAAGACGCAACAACTTTAATTCTCGAGCCAAATTTTTCCATGGAAAAAGAAGCAACTTTTATTTTCAATAAGGCTCAACATGAACTACTTTGAGCTATTATTATAGACATGCTCATAAGTGAAGGCAATTTTAAAATAATTAATTTTTCCAAAGTTTTAATGCTAAATTCTAATGAAAATCTCTTTCTCTTTTCAGCTTTGGCAAAGTTATAGAAGTTTTGGAAAAAAGCATAAGCTGCTTAAAATTTGACTGACATCGGATTATAAATTATTCTGGTTTTTGGTCTATGTGCATAAAAGACTTTAAATGAGCGAAAATTGCATTATATAATACATTAAATTCTGATTTCGCTTCACCCACGATTCCAGCCTGTGTAATCAGTGTTCGAGCTGCAACTGCAACGCAATGCATTTCTACGTAGTTGCCTGCCCCCTCTTACCTCATTATTGCCCCCCCAAATACACACAATTTTGCAACCCTCCTCCTTGATGCCATTGTCTTCTGTCAGCATTGATTAAACTTTCTGTCTGCGCTTGTCTCGCACGGCGTCGCAACGCTGCTTCCCGTTGTTGCATGCATGAAATTTCGCCCATGTTGCACAAATTGATGTTGCATGCCGCTGTCGTTGTCGCTGTTACTGTTGCCGCTCGACTTGGCGTTTGTTGTTATTGTTATTTGGTGCTCAGCGCTCTGTGCTCCTCCGGTGGCATGTTCGCGAAAAGTCATGCGATTTCCTCAGACGTGCACAATTAGGGGAGGCAAACTGTATTGAGGAGAGTGAGCGAAGGTAGCTGCTTTCAGAGCCGACCCCTGACAAGAACTCCACACCCTTTGGGTTTGGGGGAACTTGTTTTGTTTTCCAAAGAAACGAAACTCTGGAAAAGTAATGTAAAGTAAAGTAAAGTAAAATAAAGTTAAGAATTCCACTGCGGGCACAGACTATTAACCCAATTAATGACAAAAGTTTAGCAGCTCTGATTAGAATCAGGTGAAAACATGATGACTACAAAACGTTACAACAACAGGTGAAAAACATGTTGCCAACTTCGGTCTTCAGGCAACCAAATGGATTCCGGAACAAGAGGCAACATTCCACACAGATTGCACAATTTGTATTCGTAGCACAAGAAAAATGAACTCAACTTTAGCTGAGTTCTTTTTTTTACCTTAAGGGAATAGCCTATAGACCGTACATAAAGTTGAAATTAACATTTAACATTTATTTATTACATCCTTAATTGTATTTCTATTTTTGCTTGGGCTTAAACATTTTGAATACATTTCTCCCTTCTAGTATTGTTTTATATATTTATATTTATTTAAATCTTTCTCAAAACTATTGACATTTCACAGTCTATATTTATAATTATTAATAGTTATCGAATAGAAATGAAAAACAAATTATTAAATATAAATAAATATATGAAATGCTACATTGTCCAACAATTATAACAAGTTTTGTGGCATCCCAAAAAAAAAAAAAGAAAAAACAAAATTTGTTATTTATTATTAAAAGCGTTGAAAGCATTTGGAAATTTGATAGCTGAACAATTTAATATTTCAATTACCTGCAACATGCTTCGACCTAGGAAACAGTTTAGGTAACGCCACTGGGCACGTTTGAGAATGACGTGAATTTTTCTTGCATAAATTTTGGATGAAAAGAAAAAATTTGTAAACATCGCGTCGAGGATGCAGGCAACATGTGTTGGCCGCCCAGCTTGACAGAGGTGGTGGTGGAGGTGGAGAGAAGGGTAGTGGAGCGTGGTATATCACGATTGCGGCAATCAACAAATGGAGCGGCAACCTCATTAGTCAAAAGGAGGGAACAAAGCGGCGCAAAGGAATCACAACGCCAGTCCCTGGCACCTCTCTCCTCTCTTCTCCCTCTCCAGATATACGTATATCGTGTCCGTACTCTGTCCGTCTGCAGCAAGGATGTGCGGCATATGTGGCCACATTAGTCAGTGGGTCGCTGAGTGGGTGAGCTGAAGCATTCACTTATAGCAACAAACAACGTGCGTGCTCGCGAAATGTTCTCGTTGGGGTAAACGCAGCGGAAATTGTAAATTTTTTACTCGCAAAACGAAAAAATAAATCATATGCGTGAAATGTTTGCACTCCCTTCGACTTTACCTCGTCTCTATCTGGCGACAAACGGGATAACAACATCAGGTGCACAGTGGTCCCTTATCTGACTAAAACTGTACCCAACCCGATACTTACCATAGACATTAAGATGTCTAAGATGTTTATCTCTCGCATGAGCAAGTCTCATATTAAATGTATTTGCCTTTGACATTTATTTTTCA